GAAGAGAAGGTGGGTGGGCGCATTAAGGCCCTCAGGAGGGGGTGACATTAAACTTTATTGCAAGGGGAGCAGGAAGCTGTCTCAGGGCGTAAGCTGCGAGAGAGATCTGTGAGGGTGCATTTACAAAGTCACTGTGGTGAAGGACGAGTTGGAGGGGAATAGAAGGGGAGGGGAGAGAGCAAGTGAGAGCTGATGGGGGCTGGGCTCAGCAGGTGAGGGTTGGGATGTGGGTTCAGCTGGGCTGACCCAGGGCCTCTGTCCCCAGGCCCTACTTCACCTACTGGCTGACCTTCGTCCACATCATCATCACACTGCTGGTGATTTGCACGTATGGTATCGCACCCGCGGGCTTTGCCCAGCACGTCACCACCCAGCTGGTGAGTCAGGCTAAGGAAGGGGTGCTCCCCTCTGGGGGCCCCAGCCTCTCCTGAGAGGCATCAGCATCGTCGGCCACGGAGTCCCTCCCTTGGCCACAACCTGGCCCATGCGGGAGGTGCTCCAGGCTCACCATAGCTTTACCTCTCAGCCCCACTCTGGGGGCCATACCCTGGGATGGGAAACCCCTGAACCCCCTACCCTCTGCCCCTGCACCAGGTGCTGAGGAACAAAGGTGTGTATGAGAGCGTGAAGTACATCCAGCAAGAGAACTTCTGGATCGGCCCCAGCTCGGTGAGGGGCCCAGGGGGATGGGACAGCATCTCAGCAGGGAACCCTGAGGCCCTGTCGCCCCCAGCTGGGCAGGGGTCAGCTGGCCCGGGAGCCCCTCTTATCAGGGGACCTTCAGGGGAAACTCAACAGAGTGGCCGCTCTGGACCCAGGCTTGCTCTTTCCCCTCCCCCAGATTGATTTGATCCACCTAGGAGCCAAGTTCTCCCCCTGTATCCGGAAGGACCAGCAGATCGAGCAGCTGGTGCTTCGCGAGCGAGACCTAGAGCGGGACTCGGGCTGCTGTGTCCAAAACGACCACTCGGGCTGCATCCAGACCCAGCGGAAGGACTGCTCGGTGGGGCCAGGCCCCCTAGCCCCTGCCAGCCCCACTCTGGTCCTGTGCACCATCTTCACTTGCCCCAGCATAGGGGAGGGGCCCTCAAGGACAGTGACCGCATCCCCTCCCTCCTTCCTGGCCCCATACAGGGAGAGTGCGAATCTCCGCAGCCCCGGAGAAGTGAAGGAAGTGAGGTTCCCAGGTCTTGGGAACGTCAGCCAGGGGTGGAGGTCTGGGAGATGAGCCTGAGCCCTGGAGACCAGGGGAAGAGCCCCAGTCCAGAGGGTCCCTTGCCGACTCTAATGGGGATGGTGTTATCCTCGTCGCAACCAACCCTCCTCTATCCTCCAGGAGACTTTGGCCACTTTTGTCAAGTGGCAGGATGATACGGGGCCCCCCATGGACAAGTCTGATCTGGGCCAGAAGCGGACATCGGGGGCAGTATGCCACCAAGACCCCAGGTCCAGTCTCAGGGTGGCCCAGCTGGGCTGTGAGAAGATGGGATTGAGTGTCCTGTCTGTGCTTCCCCCTGGGGATGTCAGCGGGTGCGTGTGGCAGGCTGGGGGGGCGCACAGCTCCTCATTTTGCCCCCTCTGACCTCTGCCTCCAGAACCTGTGAGGAGCCAGCCTCGAGCGGCGCCCACATCTGGCCTGATGACATCACCAAGTGGCCAGTGAGTGTCTGGGGTGGAGAATGGTCTAGGAAGGGCAGGGAGAGGGTGAGGGTGCCTGCCGCTGCAGGGGCCCAACCCAGTGTGGGCGTGTCGTCCCCCCCGCAGATCTGCACCGAGCAGGCCAAGAGTAACCGAACCGGCTTCCTACACATGGATTGCCAGATCAAGGGCCGCCCCTGTTGCATTGGTACCAAGGGCAGGTAAGCCAGCTCCTTGTTGCCACCTGCCACGCGGGCTAGTGTCGTCCCTCCCCCACTCTGGGGTCGCCCGTGGTGTGAGCAGGATGAAGAGCTCGGTCCCCACAGAGGGGCGCCCCTCCTGCCAGTGGGCGGGGGTACTCGGGGCTCTGATGTATCCCCTTGCCTCCCTGTCCCCCCAGCTGTGAGATCACCACCCGGGAGTACTGTGAATTCATGCATGGCTATTTCCATGAAGAGGCAACACTCTGCTCCCAGGTGAGGCAGGGCCTGCGGGGGCCCTGAGGGTGAGCAGGTGAGCACGGCCGCGCGCTCGAGCCGGCCTCATGCCTCCCCTCCTGCAGCAGGTGTCTGGCTCTGCACACGCCCCCGCCCCGCCACATCGGGGCCAGCTGGGTCACAGGCACTGACTGCCCCGTGCTTGCCCTCAGGTGCACTGCTTGGACAAGGTGTGTGGGCTGCTGCCCTTCCTCAACCCCGAGGTCCCAGATCAGTTCTACAGGCTCTGGCTGTCTCTGTTCCTCCACGCGGGGTAAAAGGCCCCTCGCTGCCCGCCCCTCCCCCCCACGCCCCTGTGCTGCCTGCCCCCCCCCCCCCCCCCGGGCCTGTGGAGGAGGACTCCTGGCTGGCAGCCGGGGGCAGATATGGGACGGCTGACGCCTGCTGTGCCCCCCTCCCCAGCGTGGTGCACTGCCTCGTGTCCGTGGTCTTCCAGATGACCATCCTTCGGGACCTGGAGAAGCTGGCCGGCTGGCACCGCATCTCCATCATTTTCATCCTCAGTGGCATCGCCGGCAACCTCGCCAGCGCCATCTTCCTCCCGTACCGGGCGGAGGTAGGGACTCGGGGGACGGGGCAGGGAGGAGGGCCAGCTCTGCTGCTTCCCGCCCCTTCCCCCCCGGAGCCGCCCGAGGGACACGTGGCCCCGCCCGGGCCAGGCTCGACAGCAGATGGACAGCTAAGCTGTGGGCTTATTAGCTGATCCCCTAATCCCTGGGAGCAAGGAAATAGCGATGCTTCTGCGTCATGCTCAGGCATCACCTCCAGAAAGACTTCCCCAGACCCTGTCCCTCCCTTTGTTCCCCTTCTCTGCTTCATTTCTCTTCGTGACCGTGACCCTTGCGTGCCTACCTGCAAGTCACATAGCTGTGGGTTGAGCTGCATGAAATCTCCAGGGTGCAGACATTCATGACCCACAGAAACAGTGACAGTTTTTCCATTGATTCGACCCCATGCCCTTGGCTTGTTTGGTGTCTGTCCATCCTGCCGTATGCTGCCTGGCGTAGGCCTGTCTGTCCTGCTTACTGCACAGACTAAACACTGGGCACGTAGTTGGTCCTCAGTGTTTGCAGAAAGGGTGGGTGCCACAGGCCCCACTTTGGTCCGGGAGCCTCAGCTGCCGGCTCCCCACCCCTGGGAGAGCCCGCTCGTAGGAGGACCCAGCTGCGCCCCGGCTTCGCACCTGGCACCCCGGGCTGACGCCGCTCCCCTCCCCGCCCCAGGTGGGCCCGGCAGGTTCGCAGTTTGGCCTCCTCGCCTGCCTCTTCGTGGAGCTCTTCCAGAGCTGGCAGCTGCTGGAGCGGCCCTGGAAGGCCTTCCTGAACCTGTCGGCCATCGTGCTCTTCCTGTTCATCTGCGGCCTCCTGCCGTGGATCGACAACATCGCCCACATCTTCGGCTTCCTCAGCGGCCTGCTGCTGGCCTTCGCCTTCCTGCCCTACATCACCTTCGGCACCAGCGACAAGTACCGCAAGCGGGCCCTCATCCTGGTGTCGCTGCTGGTCTTCGCCGGCCTCTTCGCCTCTCTGGTCATCTGGCTGTACGTCTACCCCATCAACTGGCCCTGGATCGAGTACCTCACCTGCTTCCCCTTCACCAGCCGCTTCTGCGAGAAGTACGAGCTGGACCAGGTGCTGCACTGACCCCCGCCAGGCAGGCCTGGACGGGCTGCCTGTCTGCAGAGCGCCCCAGCCCCGCGCTCCAGAGACCCGCCTCCGGGGGCCCCGGCCCTCCCCCCACCAGCCACACTGACCCCGCGGTGACAGTCACAAAGGCGAGGTCCTTGGGGGAGTGAGGCCCCCCTTCCTCAGTCTGGGGGGCCCTCCGAGCATGTGCTTCTCCCCAGCGCCGGAACTCGGACCCTGCCTTCCTGCTGTTCCCCTGCCGGCAGGACCCTTGCCGAGGGGTGGGCTTCTCTCCTTCCCAAGGTCCCCGGCTTTGCCGATCTCCCCACTCAGCCCCAGCTGGGGCCTGCCCCCCCGCCCCCCCCCACCCCATTACTGTGGCCGTGCCCTTACTGGGACGTGGCCAGGGTTCCCACCAGGTTCCCACCCCTGCCTCACCGAGGCCTCCCCTCCCTGCGCTATGAGCCCGTGCCCCTTATCCAGCAGTGGCCTGGTGAGCCTGCCCTTAATGCTCCTGGACCAGACGTGTGGGAAAGGCTTTGCCGTGGCCTGGGGCAGAGAAAGAGCATGGAGACACAGCAAGGCTGGGAAGCTGAGAGCCTCCACTTGATGGTCGCAAACAGAGGCTGTCCCCTCTCTGTCTGTCCTGGCCCTCCCTCTGAGTCAGTGTTCTGCCTTGTGGGGCTGGCTCTGAGAAGGCCGGCCCTACCCCACTCTGCCTCACTCCTGCCCAAGTGGGGGTGGGGGCTGGGCCACCTCAAGGACCTGCTCCCAGGGGTTGCCCAAGGCTCAGCCAGGCCCATTTTTTACTGGTTTATATTATGGTTCTAATTTTTAAAAGTAACGCTAACTTTATATGGATGATGTCTCGAATGTATTAAATGATATTCTCTAAAAGTATCATTTTTTGACCTGAGGGGCTCTGGCAGAGGGAAAGCTGGGATTTTTTTTTGTTGGTGGGGGGTCAGCCGTGAGCTCAAGGGCAGGGCCTTGGCCCAAAGGGACGGTGGAAAACTTGTGGGGCATTTGGTTGGACCGGAAGCCAGGTTTGGGGTCCCATGGAAAGCCTCAGGGGGTCCCTTGAGAGGGCCGGGTCAAATCCTTGGACCCCAGGGGCAGTGAGGGGCTGGCTTTCCCGGCAGAGACGGCGGCAGGGGGAAGACACAGACCTTATCCCTTCACTGTGCCTCCCCCGCAACCCTCACCCCACACAAGAAGCCACAGGAGGTTATGAAGCACAACTATTTTATTAGAGCGAAGAGGACCCAGGGTGTCCGAGGCGAGCGGTGGGGGGCACATGGGGGGAGCTGGGAGGTAACCCCTGCACTTCCCTGCTCCCAGCTACCCCCCATTCTGGGGCTGAGGACGAGAAGGGAAATCCCTGAGGCTGGGGAGAATAAGGGCCTGAGCACCAGGGACCTCACATGAGGCGAGGAGGCTGCCTGCCCAGAGGGTCCACCATCAGTTCCTGAGAACAACAGGGTCACCGAGGCGGGTCGCAGGACACCTCCTGCCGTCCCCAGTTACCAACCCAGCCCCACCTCTGGCACGGTTGGGCATCCAGCCTGGGCTGGGGAGAGAAGGGGACACCGGGGCCGGGTGGCTGTGGGCACCGTGGGGACGGCAGGCGTCAGCAGCCGCTGTTCCGGCGCAGGGAGCCGTGGCCTTGCGTGGAGCACTGGAGCTCCATGAAGGTGAGTGAGCCCAGGGTGATGGCGCACGGGCCCGTGAGGCGGAAGCCGAGCCTCTGGTAGAAGGGCACCAGCCCATCCTCACACATGAGCACGGCCCGGCGCGCCGCTCGCTGACCGCCCACGTGCTGCAGATAACGCCGCATCAGCGTGGAGCCCTTGCCCTGCCTCCGGCAAGCGCGGTGCACGGCCAGCACGTGCAGGTGGACAGTGTGGCCCCCGGGCCGGTGCAGCGTCAGTGACTCCTGGAAACAAGCAGGGCTGTGAGTCCAGGTCCAGCTCGGCCCATACCTGCCCCCCAAACTGCCCCCACCCGGCCAAGAGCAAGTGTTTCCCGAGGGCCTGCAGGCGGGGCTCCCTTCCCAGCCGTGGAGGGCCCCAGATTGGGAACTCTACCCTCCACCCCATGGAGGACCCTTCATGAAGGCCTTTGAGCCCCAAAGAGGTGAGTCCTTTTGACCCGGGAGAGGACCAGAGGAAGAAACTCCAGCCCCTGGCCTCCTCTGCCTCCACCCGAGCAGGAGAAGCCAGGGCCTGGGGGAGACAGCCCCCCTTCCAGAGGCTTTCCAGCGGCCGAGCGTCCCAGCCCCATCCTGCCCTCACCTGAGTGAGTCTCTCCTGGTCCCAAAGTGAGCCGATGATGAAGGCCACGAGGCAGCCCTCCTGGAACCAGCCCAGGGACAGCTCTGGACACAGGGTCAGGAAGTGCTTGACTTCATCCAGATGCAAGGGGCAGATGCCCAAGACGGAGATGAAGGCTGCAGGAGGAGGCACGGCAGGTGACTCAGTGGTCACCATGCCACATGCCACTGGCCACTGCACACCAAGCATCTGCTCAGAAGCCCAGGTGGGGTCTCCCACCCCCCCCACACCCGCTCTCGCCCGCAGGAAAACGGGATTCAGGGCTGTTCCCATCCCCGCTTTCCTGAACATGCATGCCTGCGCACACACAGAAATACACCTCCAATCTGATCCTCTGGGGACCCAGCCACCAAGGACAGGGGCTCCTCCCCACAGGGCAGCTGCGGGGCCTGCTCACCTTCGCGCTCGATCTCAAACACACTGGCAGCGTCCTCCGGAGTGAGGCAGCGGAACTCACTGGCGGGAAGCGTGTGGCGCCGTCGCTGCTCATGGTTTGGGGCCTCTGGGATCCCAGGCTGCAGGTCCAAGGCCTTGGGCTCCAGGTCGTCAGTGCTCTGTGTGGACATCTCGGCTGCCGGTGCCTCCTTGGGATGCCCCAACTTCAGAAGCAGCCTTCGTCGCCTAAAAGGGCCCTCCCAGCACCTATTGGAGAGGAGTGAGGGTCAGGGGTATGGTCCTCAACTCCAATAGGGGCAGGCCAGGGTGACGGTGCACCTTGCCTCTTTTGTGAGCGAGTCCCAGTGCGGATTCTGGGGGCTGTAAATGTTGGTGCCGTCTCCCCATCTCTCCCTCTCAGCCAGAAGTACCCGCAGAGCGGCCCTTCCAAACCTCCAGATCCTGGCCTCACTGCCCTCCAGGTACATCTAGGTCCCAGGAGGCAGTGGGAGGGGTGGGCAGGGCCCCATGGAGCCCAAGGCACCCCAACATGGCTTGCCGCCCGAGGTGGGAGGGGTGACCACCGACCACGTCTAGCACGACGATGAGCGGGGTGGGTCGGTCTGACTCACCTGCCCAGAAGGGGACTTGCCAGTTCTTTGGGTGTAGGATGCTAAGGCTCCAGCTTTTTAGGCAGCATCAGCTGTAGGCCCTGGAGAAAAAGACCCTTAATCAAAGTGGGTCCTCAGGGAGCCTTCACGTTTACTCAGATGGCCTCAGACTGGACCACGCACACATTAGGGCATCGGGAGGATCGGGGGAGTCTGAGGAGGTAGGGAGGAGCGGGCCAGGAGGGCATCTGACTATGTCCTTATGGCACTTTGTATCTCCCATGATGCTCTTGCAGATTCTTCCATATTTGCCTTGCCCTCCCTCCTCCACTTTTTCTCCCTATGCCCAGAAGCCCCAAGCAGAGTAGCTCCTGTTCCTAAAGGCCGGGAGCCAGGGGTGGGAGGGTGGGATGGGGAGGCCCACGTACCAGGACTCTGAGCAGGGGCTCAACGTTCCCACCGCAGAGCCACTCACGCTGGAGGTCGTCTGCAGGCGCGGGAGCCAGGGAAGCCTGGGACTCTGGGCTGCGTGGCTGTTGCAGTGGGTGTCGCTGGGGGACATGTGATGTGCTCCCAGATTTATAACCCCCGCCCCGCCTCCATGTTACGCCAGCAGGACAAAACCAGCAGGCTGTGACCCTGCCTGCGGAGGGTCAAACATCGGTGTGACACACTGGATGCGCAGGGGATTAAGTGATTGATTGAGGGCCCAGAATCCGGGGGAAGAGCACAGGGCTAAACCTCAGGGGTCCAGCTCTAATCCCTGTTCCGGCTTTGCCTGGCTGGGCCAGGCATTCACCCTTTGTGCTCCAGACGCTTGGACACGCTCAGCTCGGAGTGTCCTTCCAGCCCCTGTAGCCCAAGAGCGCTACCATTTGCAGCCCTTGCTATGGGCTGAGCCTCAGGAAAGAATATCCTTTAACCCACATGAGAGCCCAGTGAATATTAACCCCATTTTACAGAGGACACCGAGGCTCAGAGAGGCTGAATTACCTGGTTAGAGCCTCCCAGCAAGTCGTAGGGGGGCAGGAGAGGCAACCGCATGTATGTCTCCAAGCATCACGCTGTTCCCACCAGGGCTGTTAGGCCCCGTGGATTTTCCAAATGGCCGGGACACGTCTTCACAGTTCTACCAATCATCAGACTGTATCCTCAAGTCAGGGTCTACCAAAGCCGGGGGGAACCAGTGAGTGACCCATCGGCCTTGGGAGGGGATGCCCAAATCTGGCTCTTAGGATGTGTCGTCTACTGGAGCCAGAGAGACTGGAGAGGCAGGCAGTATTCGGACCTTGCTGTGTAGACGGAGGCAAGCCCCTGAACACCAGACAAACCCCTCTACATCCTGCCCTCATAAATTACCTCCTCCATGGATGCAACTAAGCATACCTCTTTCCAGAGTGCTCTGGAGAAAATCCCCAGATCCAGAAGTGAGAGTCAAATCCTCCTGCGTACCAGCTGGTCCCCTGTAGCAAAAACCAACCCAAACAAGCAAGAGGTCCTTAGCAACTCACACCCTCCTCCCATCCCCCCGGTACCCTGCCTAGTCTCCCACACCTGCCATTACACTGAGGTACTTAAATAACCCCAAGGGGGTGCGGCTGCCACTTTGGAAGACTTCGAAGCACCCGCTAAAGCTGGACTCATGCCCTGGGACCAGCAATCCCACTCAAACACCAATAGAGCTAGAAGGTTCCCCAGCTGGAAACAGCCCAAATGACCATTGGCAGTAAGGGATTATGGAATAGACACAAAATGGAGGATCATCCAGCTGTGAGAGCAAACGACCATGAGGACACATGGCACAGGGAATGAAAGAAGCCCCCAGACAAGAGCGGTTCTGAGTCCATGGATTCTGTCTATGTGTTGGAGGCAGTGGCTGTCCAAGGGGGGCTTCTGGGGTGCCGGTAATATAACATTCTGTTCTTTTTTTTTTTTTTAAAGATTTTATTTATTTACTTGAGAGACAGAGAGAGCTTGAGCAGGGGGAGAGGCAGAGGGAGAGGGAGAGGCAGACTCCCCGATGAGCAGGGAGCCCAATGTGGGGCTCGATCCCACGACCCTGAGATCATGACCTGAGCCAAAACCAAGAGTCAGATGTTTAACCGATTGAGCCACCCAGGCACCCCAAAAATACAATCTTAAAAAAAAAAAAAAGTCAAACACTAACAACGAGAGTGACTGCATGTGTTTCTAGTCCCAGCCTTGCTGAGTGATAATCTGCTAAGGCATTTCAGAACACTAACTGGGTCCTGACACCAGGGCATCCTCCCCCAGGGGCTGTCATCAAATTCATCTGACCAACAGAGTGGCCTCAGGAGATGTACCTTGTGAATGAGGTTGCCAGATTTAGCAAATAAAAATGCAGGAAGCCCCGTGAAATTCAAATTTCAGGTAAACAATTTTTTTTTAAGATTTTATTTTTAAGTAATCTCTACACTCAACGTGGGGCTCAAACTCACCACCCCGAGATCAAGAGTTGCATGCTCCACAGACTGAGACAGCCAGGCAACCCACAATTTTTTAAGTATAAGTCTGTCCCATGTGATATTTGGGGCATACTTTTACTAAAAAATTGTTTATCCAAAATTCTGTTTTCTACCTCACACTAATGCAACATTATATGTCAACTTTATTTAAATTAAAAGAGAAATTTTTAGGGGCATCTGGCTGGCTCAGTCAGTAGAGCATGTGATTCTTGATCTCTGGGTCATGAGTTCGAGTTCCACGTTGGTGTGGAGTTTATTTAAAAAAAAAAAGAAGTGCACATTCTCTGAGCTGTAATTTGGCATCCTATTTGTCTTTCTTGTGGGGAAAGAGTGTGCCCAGCTAGCCATGTGCATAGAGCAGGGGTTCAAACCTTTGTACCCCTTTGCAAGTGGAGTCTTTGGTGGAACTCTAGCATGTAAAACAGACCAAGAGCCCCCCTCCCCCCACCCCTCCCCCCACCCCCTCCCACCTCCCACCTCCCACCCCCCGGGCTGGAACTCCTGCCAATGACATGAAGACTCTGCCAAGATGAGGTTGGAACAATATGGGTCCCACCAGGGGCCTCTGGAGAGAAATGGACTTCCCTCAGAGGCACAGACTCATCTTAGAGCACCAGTGCCCCGTGTGGCCCTTGGAACACCATCCTCATGGGCAGGTTCTGAGGCTCTGCCAGGCTCAGGGGGGCAGAGAAGAGTACCATCTATCTGAGAGGCATCACAGGGGACATTGCAGACGCTCCCACAGCAGAACCAGAGGTGAGGCTGTGTATCTGATAGAGAGTCAGTGTAACCCATTGTCCCGCGTGGGGATCATTGGCTCAGGGGTACTTTTTGTCAGGCCCCCTATTGATACAGTTTTGCTCTTTATTCCAGTCTTCTCCTTCCAGCACCAGCTCCCTGGAAAGGGTCCTGTAATAACCACTGCTCCCCAGCTCTGATTCTGCCCATTGGCCTCCATACCACACTTCTTCTCCCAGCACCACTCCCCTTAGGGGTGCTACCCTCACTCCCTCCATCCTGGCCTCCCAGTCCACCAGACAGGTCCACGCACGACTGAATGACAGCTGTGGGCTGGGCTCCAGTTCTCTCCCACAAGGCTCTTTGGTCCCAAGCAAACCACAGGCTGTGGCTTGGCTCCTGCTTGAGGGCTCCAGAACATTCTATGATAGTTTAGAGCCAGGTTGTGCAAGGCACACAGAGATCCCCTCCAGAGGGCCGTGTTACCTAACTCCCCACCTGTCCCAGCACAGCCTCACCTCTGAGCCAGCCGAGCCCCTATCCCACTAACGACCTGAAGCAGCAAGGATGACGGGCACAGAGGTGGCGGTCCTCACGATCGAGTAGACAACGGAGGTCTCGGTATAGGAAGAGTGTTCTGAGGGGCTGCATGTCGCCACAGGGAAGCTAAGGGATGTCTATTCTTCGGAGGGGGAGCAGCCTCATGGTGACAGAGCAGAGGTCATCTGTTAAAGATACACTGACTCGGGGCGCCTGGGTGGCTCAGTTGGTTAAGCGACTGCCTTCGGCTCAGGTCATGATCCTGGAGTCCCGGGATCGAGTCCCACATCGGGCTCCCTGCTCGGCGGGGGGCCTGCTTCTCCCTCTGACCCTCTTCCCTCTCGTGCTCTCTGTCTCTCATTCTCTCTCTCAAATAAATAAATAAAATCTTTAAAAAAAAAAAAAAGATACACTGACCCTTTGGCATGGCTGGGGCAGCCCCCATGTTCTCCCTCCCTCCCCCACTCCCCCGCCACCACCACTGGCCCCCAGCCTGCAGCAACTCTGACAAACTGCAGAGCCTGGCCCCGCATGGCGGTGAGCATCCACCCGGGGCCCAGGACCTCCGGGAGCCCCTGCTTCTCTCTCCTCCTTCCCTCAGCATGACAACTGCTCGGTTCCCACTGCAGGGCCCAGGGGAGTCCACCTGGAGGAGACTGAGAGGTGGGCGCCCTGAGAGACGGGGCCCAGAGACACTCTGATGATGTTTCTGAGACCCCAACTTTCCACACAGAGCCACTGGAAGGCCGTAACGGGCAGGGAAGGCAGCTCTCTGTTACGGCGTCCGCACGACTAGTTGCATTTTGTGGTGGTTTTGAGGGTGGTTTCCTTCTCTCAACTCCTTCCCTGGACCTAAGGTCTGCCCCATACACCTGGCACTGAGCACATTTTGCCCAATTGTATTTACCTTTTCAACCTTCGTCTCTTACAGGCAGGTTTCCCAGGAAACAGAAAGCGAGATGGAGGACTGCGTGCAGGAGGTTCACCAGGGAGCAGGGGAAGCAGCCTTGGGCAGAGGGAGAAGGCAGTCACGTGGATGTGGTTGCCACAGAGGCCTCAGCCCATCTTGTGAGAGCTCAGGAGCCAAGAAGCCCTTCAGAGACACCCAGCCTGAGGCAGGGGGCAGACCCTTCCGCCCTGCGTTGACCTTGGTGAGGCAGCTTCCTGAGCAGAGGGCAATCCTGCCAGCCAAGGGGTGGGTGCTCTGGATCACTCTCGCCAAGCTGCAAAGAGCTGCCCTAGCAGAATGCTAGCACCAACTTCCGGGGGCCTTGCCAGGGTGATAAATCCTGTGGCGGGGAAGAGTGTTCCCAGAATAACACTCTCGTCCAACTTAATGTTCTGCCTCTCTCGACCCAGTATCCTTGACTCCAGTCCCACATTCTCCCAGCTCCTGTCGGCACCGTTGGCCAGGACCTGCAGTCCCTTCCCGGTACAGCCTTTTTCTCCCTTTCGGTGGCCCAGCATGCACTACCAGCCGAGTTAAGTTGTGATTTAGACCCAGCTGTTGATCTGGGGCAAAGAGGGGAGATGGCATAGATCATTGGGGCGGGGGCAGGGGGAGGGTTGGCACTTGTCTCACAAGGAAGAGTTTTGTCTTCCAGCAAGGAGAAAGCACTAACCTGTCACAGGCACGAGAGGGCCACATAGGAGGGGGCCACAGCTGTGAGGGTCCAGAAGGCTCAAGGAGAACCTGGCGCTTTGAGATTTTTGAGTCCAGTGACCCAGATCTCCCCGGATGTCTCAGAGTTCCCCCTCTTCCCAATTAGGGTCCTTCTTGACATAGCTGACTCACTAAGTTTGGGGATTCAACCTCTTTTAGGGCCCTGCGTCCCCTATTAAGTCCAGAACCTGACTCTATTTTTCTCTGGTCCCTGACTTCAGGAGGTAAGTTTCATTACATGCTGCCAAGGAGACCCTCTGGCTTTTATACTGAGCCTTCGAGTGGTGACCCATCACCCGCGGCTTTTCGCTATCTTTCTCCAGTGTGACCGCCCCCAACAATAGTCATGAGGTCCCATGGTCCTTATAATGATTGCTCTCCCATACACCTGAGATTATTCACCACTACCGCAGTTCCTTCCACTGGTTCACTGCCCACAAAAGTTGTAATGATTGCACCACTGTAGTGTGCTAGGGCCCAGAATATTACACCTCCCGCTACTGGTGGGGATCCTCATTAACAGGCAGGTGATCCAGCTCTAGAATCCCATTTAGAGTCTGTTCCTTAACACCACACTTAGCACCAATGGTGATGGGTCAGATTCCCCAGGAAATAGACTTAAAGACTCAGATCTGCATGAAGACATTTACTGGAAGTGCCATCAGGGAGCAAGGTCAGCAGAGGTGGGCAGAGGACGTTAAACTGTAAAGAGCCAGTTCCAGTGGAGACCTCGGCTGATCCCAGAAGCTCTGAAGCTGGGGTGCCCCTTCCCAGGTATCCTGAATGGAGGTGAGAGGGCCAGGCTTTGTTCCTCCTTAAGGACAGTCATTGGAGAGGTGAGGCACCTTCTTTCAGCCAAGGGCAATCCCTGGAAAGGTACCAAAGCTGTGAAGCTCAGCAGCCAGTGCCGGGCAGCTGGGGGAAGGGTCCCGGGGATTGGGACGTGGACTCAGGCTGTGCATACAGTATCCGCTGACGCCCATCTCCCAAACAGGCTTTATAAACGCCTGGAAAACAGAGACCATATTGAAAGTGGGCCATGTGCCCCCTCCTCCCCCAGAGTAGCTATCAACTAGGTCTTGACTCTTCTGTTGAGAAGGATGGCATTTGGCTTCTTGACTTCCTGTGGATTTATTTTGAAGCCTTATTTGCGTAAATAGGCTGGTTTCACTGCATGGCTGAGTGGAGCCCTGTCCTTATTTGGGGTTCAATATCTGACATATGACACAGGCTGTTTCCTCAGGAACCTTCCAGACCTTTCTGGAACGAAGGTGTCAAAGGCAGGGAGGGATCGCCACCTCCTGGAGAAAGAAGGGACCTACGGCTCCCTGAGCATCAGGAGCCCTGCGGTCCGAAAGGTCATGTGAGCCCATAATGTGATTTTCGTTTTATAGTAACCACATTAAAAAGAGCCAAAAGAAACAGGTGAACTTGATTTTAATAATATATTTTATTTAACCTAATACATATAAAGTACTGACATTTCAGCAAGTAATCAATATAAAATTATTAAGAAGATATTTTAGATTCTTCTTTTTGCAAGCAAGTCTTCAGAATTCAGGGTATATCTTACACTTACAACACATGTCAGTTCAGAGGAGCCACATTTTAAGTGCTCAAGAGCTACGTGTGGTTAGGGGTTAGCCCAACAGGTAGCCCAGATCTAGAGGCTAAAGGCCAGAGAGAGAACTAGAGTGTGTGTGTGCTCACGCACACGTGTGGCCTATGTGTATACTCCTCTCCATATCTAGGAAACATGGACAGCAGGGGACTTGAGGAAAGACAGAGGCGTCCCGGAGTCTTGCTGACACATTTCGAACCATTGGGAGAAGTCGGCTGGTTTTGTTCACTCAACAAAAATCTCTGGAGCACGCACTATGGGTCAGACCTGTGCTGGATGCTGGGGTACGAAGATGAAGAAGGGTATCACAGAGGGGAAAAAATACAACCCACAGGTATTACCAGGTAAGTGGGGGAAATAATCAGGGGAACGGGGTGCTTGGAGGACATCATAGATAAGAAGGCCCGATCTGGGTTTTGTGAGATGAAAAGGAGTTCTTTTGGTAAAAACAGGAGTTGAAGTCGAGGCATAAAAACTTAGAGGCAGGTGGCGAACAAGGGAAAAGACACCAGGCACCAAAAATTGGGGTCCTGAAGGAAGTGGCCAAGGCTGGAGCACGGAGCATGTGTGCAGGGCGTTGAGTTGGAACACAGGGTTAGAGGTAGGTAGAGAAGATCAATTCCGGAAGGGCTACCGTGTCATTCTCTGCTGGACCAGGAGAGCCCCAGAGACATGGTAAGCCAAGAAGCTGGATGATCCTGTTTGCATTTTCAATGTCCCCAGGAACAAGGTGGTGGATGGATTAGGCGGCGGTGGGGGTAGGGGAAGGAGGCTACGGCCCTGGTGTGCGCGAGAGATGGGGATGAACTCATACCAGCAGGTAATGTTTATCAGGCCCCACTACCTGAAGAGGCCCTACACAAAGCACCATATATTGACCATGCCAGTTACATTGTCAACAGCCCTAGGAAGTAGGTACTGTTATTACTCCTATTTCACAGAAAGGAAACTGAGTCTCAGGGAAGTGAAATAGCTTACCCAAGGTCACATAGTGAGTCAATGGTATCTATCACAGGCCTCAAACCCAGGTCCATTGATTCTGGAACCCCACTCCTAGCCACAGCACCACAGCACCACGGCACCCCCCTATCTCCCCATGGAGCGGCCCCCAGGGGAGCCGCTCTGGACCTGAGGGGGCTGGAAAGAGGGTAGAGGGGCCATGACCTGGGCTTTGATCGCATGTGGCACTTCAGATCAAGGATTAACCCTCAGGTGGCCAGCTTGGTACCCAGGTAAGTGATGCTGCCATCAACCTGGATGAGGAGTCTGGGAGAAGACACGGGTTTGGGGGAAATGGGTTTGTGACATCTGGCTGGCCATCCAGGAAGTATCCATGAGTTGGTGCTGAGGGGAAGGCCCTGGCGATCTGGGACTTGGTGGTGAAGAGTGGGAATGGTGGAGTGACTGCAGCCCCACTGTTCTTCAAGCTGGCCCCAGGGGATGTGCTGTCCCTGGCCCCTGTATCCGAAGGAAGGAGGGAAACAGAGTACACCTGCCAAACCTGGGCTCTCACTTACTGTTCAACCTTTTCACTGGTGCCCCCAGCACAAACTAGTTTGTCCCGTGGATTGCAACCATTCCTGAGTCAGGAGTGAGAATGGCTCAGGGCCGGCCCATCTGGGTCCTAATCCTGACCGTACTGCAGGGTGATCTCGGGCAAATCCCACGGTTCTCCCAGGGCATCAACACAAAAAGGGGTAAGGCTCCAGGGGCAAGAAGGACCCGTTTATTTCCAAAAGCCCATGATTCTTGAGCAGCCACCAGCTGGAGCCTCAGGCAGGGGCATTTCTCCAAGTAGGCTAGCGACGGCCCCCCAGGGTAGCTCCCCTCCCACTCCACCTTCCTAGCTGAAGACCCCGGTGCTGAAGGCACCCTAGAGCCTGCAAGCAGGCACCTCAGGGTAGAAGGAGTTCTCTGGGCCCATCTGGATTCTCTCGCACAGGGAAGTTTGGAGAAGCCAAGCGGGCTGGGGCTCCCCCATGAGGCAGTGTGAGGCCCTGAGACCCAAGCACACTTCTTAAACCAGTGGCCGTTTAAGATAGGGATAAGACAGGGCCTGCTTCCCAGAGATCAGCAGCCAGCCCTGCTGCCTCCTGTACCCTGCCAGCCCCTTAGCAAGGGGAGTGGCCAGACTGGCTCAGTTTCTGGCAGGCATATCTGTAAATAAGCAAAATTCCCCAGAGAAGAATCTCTATTCTCCAAGGAGGGCTGGGTGTTGGGGCCACGAGAGGAGGGATTTCTCCACTGGGGAATGAAGTTTTTTTTTTTTTTTTTCTTTCAGCAATTATGAAACTATAAACTGAGCCAATGCTCCCATCCCAGCTCACCCCACTCACCAGCTTGGGTGTGCAGACTGTGGTTGGGGGCTCGGGGACTGGGAAGGGGTCAAACCTTGACTGGAGCATCTCAGGTCTGAGTGAGGTGGGGAGGAACGTACTGAGCCTTCTTCTAAAAGGACTCTGATACAGCTCAAACTGGGGGCGACAAAAAAGGCTGAGAGATAGCAGGGGCAGCTCCTTGGGTGTATAGGGGGGAGGACGGGAAACTGACCAAATGGAGGGACAGGAATCTCAGGCCTTTGACCCCCCCCGCCCCCGGTATGGTACATCACTGAGCAGCCAGTCTGTACCAGGCACTGTACTAGGCACTGGGGCAACACGCATACCTAAGACATGACCCACACGCTCAAAAGGGGTTTAGTTAGTAAGGGAGAGATCAGCATTTGAAACCGAGGGCTCTTACCTACAACCTAGCAGCTTCCTGGGGGAGGGGCGCAGCCCAGCGTGGGCATGAACCTTCACAAAAGGGGGGCTCATACTTGCTCTCTCACAGAGGACTAATCTATGTAAGGGTGGATAATCTATGTAAAGCACTTAGTATAGTACCTGGTATTAAGTTACAGCTCAATAACTGGTAGCTATTATTAGCCATTA